TAAAATATATCTCTGATTGTTAAATATTTTTTAATATCTTTTATTAAAAAATTACGTATATATAATTTACATTTTCATTTTTTTTATTAATATTTTTAATCTTCGTATACCTTTTGATATTTACAATATTTATCTTTATAATACTTTTTTAAAAATATTTAATGTTTTCCATATTTTTCCTATTTTTATCGCTTGCTTTGTGTTGTCCTTGTTTATATTACAATTAAGACAAAACTATTTTTGACTAAATAACGGAAGATTGAATCATTAGGTCGATATTGTAGCTTTGTCGTAATTAATTTCTTTATTTATAATTTATTTGAAGCGTACACCTTATGATGTTTCGAACCCAAACACACGTAACTTACTCTACTTTCGTAATCACCGATAGAAAAAGTATACTGAAATTTTGTTTTTATCGATACATTAATTTTCTTGAATATTTTCTATTATTTCTTAATTTTTCCAATATTTCTTATCGTTATATTCTTTTATAAATAATTTAATTAATTTATAAATACATTATAACTCAAGCTTTTAAAACTTATAAATTTTTAATATTAATTTAGTTGTAATTAAATAAACTTTTCGAACAAAGTCCTTCGTATATATGCGTTAAATAACCTTTGAAATCGTGAAAGCATCGTGCAAACACGCCAATTGCGAAATACTTAAACTGGTTTATTGCAAACAGCAATAACTTATTCCGGATGTTATTAAAATGTATAAACGCACCTATGTGTGTATTTATTAAATTGAAAGCATTAACCGGTACAAGCATTACCTTAATAAACGCGAATATTCTACAAGTAATTTTACGAATCACAATTGCGATGCAGCACACGCTGCGCTGAAAATGTAATTCCGTTTTAACGAATTCTTGTTAAAATCGAAAACCACCATTTTGAAAATTGTAATTTAAATTAATCACAGTGCACGATTAAATTTTGCAGAGATTTAATTTACACACTTTCCATAGTGCAGTTGATAAATTATTCATATATTATAAAGCTTCTTCCATTTCCTTATTCATTTCCATTTTTAAACCTCTATTTCTTAATTTCTACATTTATATTAGACAAGTATCACATTATATTGTCACATAAATTGTTATTAGATCAAATTAATTACCATTATTGGACTAGATTAAATTATTACATTGTTAGTTTAACAATTTGCACTCGAGAGGCGCCTCTCAGTCGCCATTTAATCAGATTCTAAAGATACATGTTAATTAATATATCAAATTTACAATTACCCAACGATGCGTGGAATATCGAATTAAAATAATTCTGTGTCTTAATTTGCATACGATTTCCTATTTATCGTTTTAGAAATGTCGTCGACTTTATGATAGAAAGTCTTCGAATTACTATTTTTCTGTAACGAAAAAATCGTCGAGTGCAAAAGGTTAAAGATTATTATGCGAGAATGATTCTTGTTTATTTAAAAAGATCAGTTTACAACGTAAATAATGGAGGAAAAGTTGGGTAAAATATTTTGTTTATCGTGTGTTTTATAAAGTAGGGTGAAAGGGGTAAAATTAGTTCGAAATGTCAAATGTTTCTTTACTTTCTGTTAATATTAAATTATTATAATAATTATTTATTAACTTATAGATATTATAAATTCTTATCCTGAGTATCGTATATTTTTTATTTTTTTCTATTTTCTTTAAATGAATTTGATAGGAACAGACAGTTTAAAGAGGCCATTTAAAGGCGTAGGAATTTATACCTTGAAAAAATGAAAGGGATGCTACTTTCGTCCCTTTGGGAGTGACCTGCCTTGTATCATATGTCACGGAGAAAGCTGTAAAAAGTTTTGAAATATCAAGCAACATTTTTTCTCCCTTCACTTTTTTTCTCTTCGATAAACAGCTCTTGAGAAAATACATTGTAAATTTTATATTATTTATGGAATGCCAGTGTTGGATCATTAATATTTGCATCTTTTTTGAGAAATGATTATTTATATTACAAATTGTGTTAAGATAATTATTATATCCTATTATTGAATTATGGATTATCACGAAAATCTACATAATAATATGATATTTATTTTTTCAGTATTTTGACAAAAGATCGTTTATTATATTAATTTTTCTGTTGTATACGAAAGATATTTTTAAATTAATTTTTATTTCGAATTTGGAATCAGATTTTTTTGGTTTATTTATTTTTAATCGTTTGTTAAAATGTCCATGTGAATTTTTCGTTGGGTTTATTGAAAAAGAATTTTTTATCTTTTGTAAGAAATGATTGTTTATATTAAAAATTATGTTAAGATAATTATTATATCCTATTATTGAATTATGGATTATCACGAAAATCTACATAATAATATGATATTTATTTTTTCAGTATTTTGACAAAAGATCGTTTATTATATTAATTTTTCTGTTGTATACGAAAGATATTTTTAAATTAATTTTTATTTCGAATTTGGAATCAGATTTTTTTGGTTTATTTATTTTTAATCGTTTGTTAAAATGTCCATGTGAATTTTTCGTTGGGTTTATTGAAAAAGAATTTTTTATCTTTTGTAAGAAATGATTGTTTATATTAAAAATTATGTTAAGATAATTATTATATCATGAATGATGAATTATCACGAGAATCCACATGGTAATGCAATATTTATTTTTTCAGTATTTTGACAAAAGATCCTTTATTATATTAATTTTACTGTTGTATAGGAACCATATTTTTAAATTAATTTTTATTTCGAATTTGGAATCAGATTTTTTTAATTTATTTATTTTTAATCGTTTGGTCAAATGTTTATGTGAATTTTCGTTGGGTTTATTGAAAATGAATTTTAAATATATCACAATAGTATAACATATCTTAAAAAGTTGATATAATAATTTTATTGTACTATTTTATTATTTTATCATTTTATTTTTAAGATTCTTGTATTAAATATTTTAACATTTTTAAATTAAATAATATTAAATATTTAATGCTTTTAGTGGATAGATGTATAATAATTCTATTATTCTGCTCTTTATTGTCATTCTTTTTTGCTATTTTACGTCACTGCTGAATAAAATTAACACGATTCCACTGTTCTGTCGATCAAAAGGATTTTGAGGTTTCTGTTAAATTTCTGCGGAAGAAAAAAAATTCTCATAACGTAATCAAAGAATGTATTAAACAAAGTTAAACGACACTTCATCGATCTTTCACTTGAGAAATGAAGGGTTCTCGTTTGAAGTTTTATTATTCTATTATTCATTTTTCGTTTTCTACTTCGCTACTGGTTGTACCGAATAAAAATATTGCAGTGTATTCTATTATAATACATTTTCCCAGAAAAATTGATTAAAAACTTTCACAACCTGATTTCATTTTTTCATTTCTTTATTGCTTCATTACTATGTAAAATAATGTGACACAACTTTTATTAACTTCTTCTCTCAAAAGTAATCAATAAAAACTGTTATAATATATATGTATAATTTATTTATTATTAATAATAATTATTATAAATTACATATATATATATATTATCCATTATTATGTATTATACTTCTAAATATTATATTTTTTTATATATTTTAAATAGTTTCATATTATGTAAAATAATATGACACAAATTTTATTAACTCCTTTTTTGAAAAGTAATCAATAAAAGCAAATTTTACTAAATAACAAGATTGCAAGAATTTCGTTAAATTTTGTTAAGGAAAAGCGATCGAAAAGTGATAATATCGGCAAAGCATACATGGAATAAGGTTAAACGCTACTCCATTGGTCCTCTACTTGAGAAATGAAGGGCGCCCACTTGAAATTGTCTTTTGCCTGTTCCATTCTAGTATAATCGTACCGCGTGTTCTCAGATATATTGCACACCTGTGGCGAAGAGGAAAGAGGCGGCTAATGAAGAGGTACCGAGTGTATTTATACAAAAGACAGCAGAGACGTGAGCAGAATTTACTTAAGGAACAGCGACAACACGGACACCCATTTCGAGGAGGTGGACCCGGCCCTGATCCGAATAGATTACCCGGAGGTAAGAGTATTGTACTTTCTAAGTGCCATTAATCCCCTGCAGCTTTCGATATTTATTATACATCTCTTTTAATCAGCTTCTCTCAGACTGCAATATATCTTTAACGTTTCCATTTATACTCCATTTGGAAAATTTTATTTCGTTGCCATAGTCTTTACGATTAAAAGAAGCAGTGATGTAATTATTCTGTGGAACTGTACACCCATATTTTGAGGTTAGGTTTTATTTCTATTTTTGTTTCTATCTTTTTCAACGTAAATAGTAATTATTCCGAGGAATTTTGTGATTATATTTTTAAACGAAATTCTATTGTTTCTTTTGAAATTGCGTGATTAATTTATATTAAAGAATTGCTCAATTATAAATTAATTCGAATTACTTTATTAAACTGACAGATTTAGTTTGTTGTATTTAAATAAAAATTTTGTATGTTTTACTGTAGTTTGATTAAAAATTTATCGAGCTCTGTTTTATTTTAGTTAAAGATTTATTGTACTTTACTATGCTTTGCTTAAAAATTTACTATTTTTTATTATGGCTCGGCTAAAAATTGACTATGCTTTTCTATGTAGTTAAAAATTTGGCAGACATCTTTAAATTATTATTTCTCACTTTTATATTTCTGTCTCTAAACTTTTAGCTTTCCTTATTTGTATTAAGTTATTAAACATTAAAAGCAATTATTTTAATGAATATATTCATATTTAACATAAAATAATCGATCAAGCCGGTCAGTGAAGTATAAAATGTACATTATAAAACACGACGATGAGTCAGTCAACACATAAATTTAAAAATAATTCAATTTTTGTATTAATACCAAATTTTGTAAATCAATAATTCTGTTTATATTTAATCCAAAATAATCGACACTTCACTTATTAACAATAAATTACTACGATATGAAATACAACCATAATAGATCCCTAATTACTTAAATTATACTTCGGTGTTATACGTAAATCCATTAATTCATACTTGTCACAAAAGAATTGACACTTATAAACTATAAAATGCAAATATAAATCATAGAATTTCTAAATTATTCTTCAATATTATACGTAAATCCATAACTCCTTTCATACTTGTCACGAAACATTCGACACTTTAATAAACTATAAAATAGAAACATAAATCGGTGAGCCAATAATTTTCAAATTATACAATTTCTAAATTATTCTTTAGTATTTTACGAAAATCCATAAATTCATATTTGTCACGAAACAATCGACACTTTGATAAACCATAAAATACAAACATAAATCACAGAATTCCTAAATTATTCCTTAGCATTTTACATAAATCCATAAATTCATATTTACCACGAAACAATCGACACTTTGATAAACCATAAAATACAAACATAAATCGGTAAGCCAAGAATTTTCAAATCATACGATTCCCAAAATTATCCTTCAATCTTATATGTAAATCCATAAATTCATATTTGTCACGAAACAATCGACATTTTAGTAAACCATAAAATACAAACATAAATCGGTATGCCAACAATTTCCAAATTATACAATTCTCAAAATTATCCTTCAATTTTATATGTAAATCCATAAATTCATATTTGCCACGAAACAATCGACAACTATATTCGACAAACTATAAAATACGAACATAAATCATAGAATTCCTAAATTATTTCTTAGCATTTTACATAAATCCATTAATTCATACTTGCCACGAAACAATCGACACTGTGATAAACCATAAAATACAAACATAAATCGGTAAGCCAACAATTATCCAAATTATACAAATCCCAAAATTATCCTTCGATATTATACATAAATCCATAAATTCATATTTGCCACGAAACAATGGACACTTTAGTAAACCATAAAATACAAACATAAATCGGTATGCCAACAATTCTCCAAATAATACAATTCCCAAAATTATCCTTCAATGTTATACGTGAATCCATAACTCCGTTCCTACTTGCCACGAAATAATCGATGTGTCGATAAACCAAAGCACGAATTAGCGATTTCCGGATGCTGATGCTTACAAAAGCCTCTGAGATGTCCGCCATTTGCCCAGTGCCAACTTCTCAGCGTTTCTTTAGCCATGATCCTACGAGCGTTCAAAGATTCCTGGAATCACTCTCGGTGTTCTGCGCGATCGCTTGAGAATATCACTTAAACCGACGCTATTATTGGCAGAATAATAGGAGACCTCTGATAGAGTGTGTTTGGAGCAATGTGACTGATTATAGGACAGAGTGCTTATTCTATGCTAACGGGCACGAAGGCACCGCGTGCTTCTTCAGCAGCGCGTGCCCATTCGAAAATTAAATATCTCGAAAACCATCAATTTATCTATATCCGTGTTTATCAACATTTTTCTCTCTCTCTAGCTGTGTTTTATCAACCTATTACGTTTCCTGAAATATTTCTGCCGTAGTTTTCAGAAATCTTTTATATAATCTCCCCTTGCAGAGTTCTAATAGGCAATTTTTGCAAACCTGTTAGAAATAATAAATAAAATTTGTTCATTCAGAATAACATAAGAGTGGTGTTTTCATTCGGGAATGGAAAAATCCGGGTTCATTGTTCGTGTATTGTATGTTCTTGGACTAATGATATGTTAGTGGTTGTAGCGTCCTACGGTATCGAATCTCTTCGATTTCCAAGAACGCTTATCACGCGCCAAATTAATATTGCGTGACTAGTTGCGATAATAAGGATCCAGAATGTGCGTGGTCAAAAAAGAGTGTTTATTTACAGAAAAGCGTAGAATAGTTATAATGTAGACGTTAACGGAGTACCGTTTCGAACACGCGTTTGTATGTGTAATTTAGATGTTTGAAGGATCGGTGCCGAAGACGTACTGACTTCTCGATTTTGCTCCATGTCCTGTCTCGTTGTGTTCGGTCCGGAGTTTTCTCTAGTTTAGTTCTGATTGGGTAAAATAGATGTCGGTGGTGGAAGGGTAAAGAGTTTTAATTGGACAGAGGGTGTGACATAAGGACCTTTGGCTAAGGAGTAGGAAACTGTCAAGGAGCCGATTTCTGATGGTCAATGACGTGATTTATAAGTGCCGTCCGTCCGTCGCTTGTTGGGTCTGTCACAAGTGGGTCCCATCTGTCGCGTCTGGT